ATATTTCTTCATAGAAGAATGAAGTATTAATGACTCTACTGCTCTTCCCCCTCACATGCTTGGTTGAATATCTCTGTGCTCTTACATCCTCCACTTCCTCTTCTGTTCCTGACAAACTTTTAAAATAATAATTATGGCTCAGTAGCAAGTGAATCTGCTGGAGATAGTTGGAATGTAAGTTGTGTATCTTACCTTTGGTTAGTGTGCAGTGAGGAGCTTGGAATGCCTGTGGTACTGTGACCTACTCCAGGGTCACTCAGCTTGCTCCTTGTCTTGTCATACTTGTTGTTTGGTTTTGGGTTTTTTCATCTATCCAGACAGAAGTTGCAAACTGATTCTGGTGAGGTTTCCACAGGCTTATGTAGTCCCCTAAAGTGTTTTTGTGAAATAATGGATCACTTCTAGGGAAGGAAGCAAAAAAAGTGAACCAAAAACCATCGCACGGCAGCACGTTGACCAGAGCCAGCAAGCTTGCAGTATTGATTGTTGAATGCCATGGAGGAAATAAGCCTCTGTGGAGGGATTAAGTAGCTAATATGTGATGTTAGGTCAAACAATAACTCAGCTGGGATTAGTAAAGACAGGAATTGCTGCTCATCCTTCTCCCACAGCACGTCTCTGCTCTCCCACTCTGCTGAAGGCTGTGCTATGCAAGACCTGAGACTCCATGGCATTGCCTGGAAGTCCATCTTATTCACAGTGGGGTGTGTTTTTAGTGTGTTCTGACAACCATTATAGCAATTTTGTTTTCATGTGGCCTATAGAGGACTTGTGTAGTTCTGTTGTGATTATTTTTTTTTCTATTGACACTGTTCCAACATTAACCTGAAGAATGTGTTGGTCTAACAAAATATTGTGAAAAGATAAAATTTGGCTGAAGTTTAAAAGAAAAATTAAAATTTTCATTTGACTTAATAGTTTGGCACTTCCCCTATTGCTAACAGTTACTGTGATATGTTGTGCTCATAATATCCATGGTCACTAGACCTATGTGGGATTTTAAGCAGCGTCTCCTACCATGTTTCTGGCAGTTGCTCTTATGCTTTTAGTCTTGTTTATCCCTTGTACAGTAAAAGCATGTGTGAGCTCACTGTGGCTGCCTGCAAATCAGTGCTGTAATCGTGTAATTACATCCTGACATTGCTGACCCTGGGACTGTGAACAGCATCCACCCTTCTGTCTACTTGGACCTGGGACAGTGGATACGAGCTGTCCTTGACCATAACCCTGCTGGGATAGTGGGGGATAGTGGATGGTGGCTGCTAACTTATGTTTATAATAACACACATAAATAAATGCACTGGATTACAAATGTGTAATTTAGGAAGAAGGCTTGAGGGAGGATGATCTACTTCTAATGAGGTAACTTAAAATTACTATTGTTTTGCAAAACAAAGAATCCTAGTAGTATCCAGTAATAAAATACAAGCCTAGGTATGATTAAAACATTTAGAAATTTAGAACCGCTAAAAATTATTTTTGCTGTAGTTCCCCTTCTCTTTAGGTTTAGAAAGACAGACTCATAGTTTGTTACTCACAAAGGAAGAAGAAAAGAAAAAGGAAGCAAGAATATATAATTATGCTTATTAGAATAATCAGAAACTGATTAGTGTGGGAGGAATTAATTATTAAATCTACCCACGCTCTCTGGGTTTTTTTTAAAATTTTTTGCTATTCAATTATGCATTAGTAAATGTTATCATGCAATCACTGGCAAGGTGATAATTAGTATTTATGAATTGCTGTTTTTTAGATTTGACCTATTGATAAATTCCATTTGTAGAGGTGGTTGTAGGTACACAGTTGTCTTGGGGAGCTGTGTATTTTTATTTTTGATTTGTTTTTCCTCAGTTCTGAATTTTGATACACTGTTGCACTAGCAGGGACTTACAGTTGCCTTTTATTTTTGCTAATAAGAACAGATGCTTTAATGTACAGAAAGGTGCCCCTGTAAAGCACTGAATTAAAAGAAAACAATTCTTAGGTAAGGAAATGTATGTAAATGAGTGATCAGTGAAAAGCACTGTGATAGATGGTAAACAGATGCCTTTTAAAATCAAGCATCTTATCTGGGGACCTAAATGGGGTTTAGATGCCTGGGTTTAACCAGATACTTAGGAAAATTTTATTTTTTAATTATTTATGAGCCCTTGAATGTAGCAGAGGTCACTGGTGTTATCTTTAGTTGCTAATGATATATCAGTATGACTTCATTCTGAAAACAACTGGTTTTAGCTTTTCTGAAACAGAAACCTAGTGTTCCTAATCTCCCAAGCACCAATTTTGTAAATGTCCCGAGGCTATTAAAGGGGATTGTGGGAGTAAGTGGGATCATAGCTAATCAAACTGACTGAGGGGATTGTGGTCAGTGCTGCGCAACCACTTGTCCAAACGAAGGCTCCAACCGTGGAAGAAAAGCACATTATTGTTTTGATTTCCAGCCTGTCCTGCTGACACGCTTTGTGCATCTGCTGGAATGAGTGTTTCCGTGCGTGCAACTCTGCTAGAATCCATTTGAATGTTTTTCAGCTAAAAAAAAGAAAAAAAATGAGTGGCAAATGCTGTTTGGTTTAACTGAAAACTGTAAAGAGGACTCTTAATTTATGTATATACAAAATTGTGTATTTCTGTATATCTTAGGTTTGTGTATAGTGTTTGGTTTTAATATTATGCTGAGGGTTCATTGCTCACTGGAGTGCTCCACTGTGGCAGAATTTCAGGGCACTTGTTCTCTTGAGGAAACAAGCTTGCCTGGATAAGAATTACAGAATCTTAAAGTTGAATTACCATGACTCCCGCCTCTTATGTTTTGAATTATATTGTTTGCTTATGGGATGGAGGATTACTTTCTAGTAGACTGATTTAAAGTCTAAGGCACTAAATTCTTTTTCTTTTTCTTTCTTTTTTTTTTTTTTTCCTGATTTAAGAACAGTTTTGATATCAAAAAATTCAATTTGATCAAAATGGGTTAAGTCTCTCGGGTCACACAGTGTGATGTAATGCTCTTTCAGGCTGCATAGTGCCTTGTGTTCTGGGAGCAGTCTGCCTCCTTATGTCATCCATTCTCAGTGAGCAGCAGTAAGTGGAATAAATAAGCCGTGGCTAGGGGGTTTTTTTGTTTGTTTGTTTGTAGTTTTGTGCAGGTTTTGTAAGCTTTTGCAACTGATTTAAGTAGGATATATACATATAGTCTTGCACCATCTGATGCAAATATATCCTTGTCTTCTATTTCTCCCACATTTGAACAGTGTAAAGTAACTTTGTGGAGTTGACTTGACAAGTATTAAATATTCCATTATGTTCTAGATGTAAAATTAAACTCAAAGATGAATTATTTTCATGAAACTATTTTTCTATATTCTGAAAGTGGTTTTGAAATATATTGAATCATAAAGATGCTCCAGCAAGGCAATAACTCTGGTACTGAAACTGGATATGGAGAAGAAAATACACGGAATTCTTTTGCTTTCTTGCTTTCACTTTTTAGGACATAATCTTCCTTTAAAAATGTAGAAGTCTGATAAAAACATGATATAGTAGTGTGTGCTGATGTGATTTAACTAAACACAATAACAATTCTTTGAACAGCAACGTAAATAAGGACTCTAATTTTACTTAAGCAAAAAATACCCATGAGTAAAATGGGAACTTTTAAGTCCCCAGGGAAAGAACTGAGTTCACATTTTTTCTGATAAGGCAGTTTAGTTTCCAGTTCTAATTATGTCATAATAATGAATTAGTTGTTCAGCAAAGCAAATGCAGAGATTCATTAAAGTTGCAGGAAAACAGCAACATCTTAGTTGGATTTTCTTTGAGAACTGATTCCTTCTAATTAAAGTTGAGTTTATCTTTGGGTTTTACCATGTTTTGCCACCTTGGTCTGTGATGCTTCTACAGTTTATATATGGTCTAAATACATTACTCATTTGAATAATACTTTGGTGTTTGTGAGGTAAGATTTTTTTGGCCAGTTTAATTTTCTGATCATAAGCAGGTAAACCACAATAACTTTCAATACTACTTTTTTTTTTTTAATTGTTTTTCTAAATTTGCCCTCAGGTCAGTCTGCATTGGTTTGTTTCTTCTTCTTTCATAAGAATTTAAATGTAAAACTGCTCTGAGAAAAGTTCTATTAAAAACAAAGCCTTGTGTGCACATGCAGAGCCAAAGATACTTTTTAATTTAGGGTTTTTTTGCCATTTAAGTAGAAGAAAATATTTGTATTATTTTCCAGTGTTTGGTCCCTGACGTAATTGATCTAGCTTAGTTGGCAGCTGAACTGTGATCTGTAATGAGCAGATACTTTAGCAGGAGTCAATACTTCTTACTTCTGGAAAAGAATGAAATAATACTAAGGAGTTGTGGGAAGAAATGTAAAGGTGTCCTTTATGAATGATTTATGTGAGTTCATGCTTTTTCACACACAGTCAAAATGGATTCATGCTGATGATCTACATTTTAATCTTCAGAACTTTAACAATAGTATAAACTCACTAAATGCTATATTTAGTAAGTGGAGATCTGTGGTATTAAAATACTAATAAGCAATTTTTGTCAGTTTTTAAAAATATATGTTTGAGCAGGATGCGCTGTTTCCATTACCATCTTGATTTCTTCTCTCTCTATTTAAAATCCTGTAATGGAGTCCATATTAGAGCATTTAAGTCTCTTGAATAGCCTTTTCTTTATTTACCTTTTGCAAACCACCATAGACCAGGACTTCAGTTATGGAAGATAGAGGAGAAATGTCTTTGACATTCTGGAAGGCAAGTGCTTTTGCAAGAACTTCTTCCTGAAGTTCATTTTTAGAGGTTGACTAAAACTACCTTCTTTTGCCTTCAGCCCCACTATCTTTCACGCTAACCATAAACTATAACAATAAACTAGTATCACTAACTAATATTGATTATGTAATAATTAGTGTCATTCCATTGTTGGCAATTTTCCCTGAAAGATCAGAAAGTTATTAATCTTGAATTATTTTCAAATTCACATTCCAGATGCTGTGTAATAGTTCTGCTACTCTGTGGTGCTCCATAAAGATGAAATTCAGAGATTTGCCTGTGCTGATTCACATGACCTGTAGTGAGTGTCTATCAACAAGGACCTGCCAGTTACTACTTCATCTGGAGAAAACCCAGAGCAGTCAAAAGGAAATGCTGCTCAGAGGTAAGAAAGCTCACCTTTTTTATTTATTTATTTTTTTATTCGTTTTCCCCAGAGTGATGAGTTCTTCCTACTTGAATCTGTGCAGTTGTGTGGACTGGAATTTGTTGCAGGAAAGGAGCAAAAGTAAAGGGAAAATGAAAACGACTCTTTAGCTTTGGGGTTTGAATTTTTCCTCTAAGGTTTATTGAAGTTTTCAAACCAAGACTTGAAAGTAGTTAGGGTATCTGTGCTGTAGTTAGGGTATCTGTTTCTGTTTGCTAAAGAATTTGTATAGACTTCTTCCTCTTACACTCAGAAAATAATACCTGAAGGCTGAAAGGCTTCTGGTCTGCTACAGAAGACCAGTTAGCAAATTATTATACATTTCTGGTTATACCCTTTCCGGTGTGTGAAGTTAGCCACTTTCACATCCTTGTGTGATAAAGTGGGAGGTAAGCACTACAATACAGTTTGAACACCTGCCCATTGGGAAGCAGAGACTGGAAATGAACTATGAGCTGTGTGTACACAATCCTGACTTAAAGAGCTTCCACAGGGAAATCTGAGATCAGGCTTTGTTATGGACACTTTGGTGCTGGCTTTTATTGCTGTTGCTGTGCAAAGACCTTGTTACAGCCATTTATGTTAAGCTGCACACTGGGGTGATTAGTTTTCTGTAGATGGGTAAGAGGGAGATGACAGTCGTGGATGGCTGTAGTAAAAAGGCTGTATGTTTGGAGGAAATTTCATGGATTGGATTTGACCTCTGCAGCAAATGAGCTGTGGAAATCCTTAGACCTCTCAACCAGAAAAACAGAAAGCATGCATTTGCCTCATCAAATGGCCTTCAACGGTTTCACTTATTTTTCTGTTGCTACAAGGGCAAAAGCCTTTCTATATCGATGCCTCTTGGTCTTGCCTTCTATTATTTCTGAATAGTTTTAGCTGAGGCAAGACACACTTGTCATTCTTATCTTCGTAATTTTCTTCCCGAGTGTGATTATATTAGACAAAGGAGTAGGAGGGGAGAGGAAAGCTTTGGAATTGTTCATATGGGCTGCAGCCAGAACCCCCTAGGTGAGCCAGTTAGCATGATGGGAGCCTGCCTGCCCTTTCTATTCGTACTCAGCATTGTGGTATTGGTGCTTTTAAAATACTCTTGAAATGAATGAAAACTGCTCACAGAGCAGGAAGGTGATACATTGTGTTATTGTCTATAAATTTTGATACAACTTCATATTTCTAGGAAACTGCTAACAATGGTATGTCGAGTTCAGGCTGTTGCTGTGATACATTTTTTTAAACATAATTATCTCAACAGCTACAAGCAAAAGTTTAGGAAGGTAGGAAGTTGAAGTGAGAAGGAGTTATATTTGTTTCATTCATGATTGAAATACGAATGGTGTTGTTTGGGGTTATTTTAAACTTATATTGCAATTTAGACTTTGACTCTTAGAAATCTCAGTCAATTTGTAGAAGCTGGAGTCTTTACTGATCAACTTCTAGTACATTTGGAGACTGACCAGTAACCTACTATTCCTCTAAAATTTAATGGTACAGTAGACACAGGGTAAAAGGCTCTGTCTGATATTTTCTGCTTCAAAGACTGGAGTTGTGTATTTTGCCTCTCTCTTGTAGAACACCCTCTCCTCCAGTAAAAGCAGCAAAAATGACATGTAATTGACTTGGTAACAGGGCTTGTACCCCACCAGCTAAAGCCACATGTGACTGTGATCCTGAAAGCTTTTTCCCTTCTTCAGTGAGCAGTACAAAGTGGAGAATAATATAAAATAAGTGTGTAGCTTCTCCACAGGTGCTGAAGTCACTGAAACCTGTAATTTAGGTGATCTGGCAAAGATTTCAAATTCTGTGAAGGTCTTTTGGGATTTTTCTGTGATCTCAACTTTTGCCAAAGTGTTTGAAATAGTTGCACAGAGAACAAGCTAGTTATTGGTTTTTCTTCCTTTGATTCTCTATGAGGATGCTTAACCACCTGCTTTATGTGGCATGGTTCTTCTTTTAACTAGATGAAATCTAGTATTAGATTGAGATCAGTTTTGATTGTCTGAATCTCATTTATTTCCCGCTATTAGACCAGGACAACAGGTCATTTTACTTTATTAATAAAGAGTTGATACCTTCATCCATAATTCTGTTCTCTCCATATCCCTTTGTGTATGGATTTGTATTGTAACATTGAGCTAATGTGTGGAGTCTCTATAATACAAATTCACTTATCTAAATCTGCCCATTTTGGATAAGTATATTGGAAGAAACATACCCATTTATAGCCAATACCTAGAGCTATGTCAAAGGAAAGCAAAAAGACCTTGCTGTGGGCAGAGCTGTAAGAAAATAATGAAAACAATGAGGGAAAGGGATAATAAAAATAACCAGAAAAGAAGAATATTGTGAACTCCAACAACTTTTGAAAAAATAAAAATTTTATCCAGTGTTCTTTAGCTAATTCCTGATACAGACTTTAGATGCTTACATATAAACAAAAAGCATTAGCTGTTAATCTTCAGGCAGCCAGAAACTGAAGTATTTTGTCCCTTTACAGGAATTTAAAATGCTAATGAATGATTAAACTTCACTAACAAGCTGCCTAATTTCACTTGCAATGATTTAACAAAAGTGTTTTCCATCTGGGAGATACAAGAAACAAACAACTCAATTTTTGGAAACAGATTTTTTAATTTATTGTTCTTTGTAAGGTTGCATTATGATGGAGTCCTATAAAGGGAGGTGTTTGCTGTTTGGGGGCCCTATCAGAAGAATACTCATGGGTAATCTTGTTAGAAGAGGAAAAATTTATCCAGAAGATTATGTCAACACATTCTCTACAGGTTTTTCTTTAAAATCACAAATTGAGTATCACATCTTGCAAAACAAAGAACCAAAAATTTAAGATGGGATATTCAAAGCTTTGAGGCTTATTTCTAGAGTAGCAATTGGGAAGTTCTGGGACTGTTGCAAAGCTCCTGTAAATGTATTCTTATGTTATAGTAAAATCTAAAAGGAAAGGCATTATAGATTTTGTATCGAAAATACTTTCTAATTAACTAAAGGTACGTTATGATTTATTTCTGTAGTTTCTTAAGGCACTTTATTCTCTTAGTGTAACATAATAAAACTTTTTAGTTATGACACATGTCAAGAACCAGGTAGAAGGCAGGGACTTTTTTGGCATTCACCGTGGACTTTAAATAAAGCGAATGTTTTGTGATATTGCCCGGCACTTTGAGCATGTCTTTAAAAGCTATGTTTCTTCTTCCTTCTTCACTTCTTTTTCCTCAGTTTGAAATTACTTATTTCACCTAATTTACATCAGAATTGTAAAACTTCCTCTTCCAAAGTAAGCTGTTATGGAGATATGAGCAAATAGATTGCTCTTTGGTCTGGTACAAATGCAAAGTGTTTACCTTAAGGATTTTTTTTATTGTTGCATTTTAGGAACTTGAAGTAGAATGAAAATGTATAATGCAGGCATCCTAGCTAATGGAGAAAAGTCTAAATATTTTTGATACCGGTATCTCTGCTCAGGGAGAAAGGGGATACCTACTGGATACCATTTGCATAAACATAATTCTCTGCTTTATGAACTTGCTGGCCAGCAAGGGATCACAAATGTGAATACAACTGTTTGCACAGGAAATTCCTTTAATCCTGACTATGGCTATGAATGCGTTTGGAGCTGTAGATATCCTTGGATCAGTCAGTTCATTCAGGGCCTTGCAGCATCAACCTGCCAGTCTTTGAAAGGCAGAGTTAAAATGTCTGTCAGTGCAGTTCTGCCATGTGCATGGGCACACTAAGAGTAACAGCAGAATTCATTGTTTGTATGAATGTCCTTAAAAAGAACAAATGGTGCTTGCTGGAATGGCAAAACATCCAGGAGGGAAAAGTATTTCCATGTCATGTTGTGTCACTATATCACTTATAAAACTAAAGGAAGGGGCTTTTATCATAATGGGATTGTTAACATAGACATGTTACAAATCTATTTTTGTGTGTGTGTGTGTTGTAGAATTGTTCTGCTTATTTACCCCTTACACTGGCAGGTCTCCGAAGTTTTCCTAAGTGAAAGTTTAAAATTACAATATTAATGCTGCTGATGTGGGGAGCTATGAAATAAAAATATTTATGGTCAATAAGTTACTATTGACTTCAGTATACCTAAGATCAGACAAGAAATTACTTCTTTCTCAGCGCTTTTTTAGCCTTGTTGAACTGGAGTAATGACACACACAGTCCCCTCATTTTATTTCTCTCCTCTGAAATTTTAAGGGGGAATGGGAAAGGAAAAAAGAAGATGGGGGAATAAAAAAGGTTCTTTTCTCTGGCAGTAACGGAGCTGCAGTAACTTTGGTTTTGCAGCCTTGATATTCTGCACTGTGGTGTAGGAACTGACTGAGATCTGAATCATCTGGTTGTGTGAGGTTTACACTCTAATTTTCTATTCTCCATGCTAGAGAGAAAACCCCTAGATTGTGAATGTCATTTGCCAGACTAATTGAATCTCGTGGAAAAAAACCAATGAAAATTAAATCAAATACAAGGGTAAATATTAGTAAGCATAAATTTTAATAATGAAGTTATTTTGTGGTTATTTCTTGAAGAACTACATCTTGGTTTTATTTATATGTATTTTATAAAATTGTATTCAACTCCTTTTTACACTTTTCACTCAGTGTAAGGACTGGTTTATTTTGGGAATGTAACAATTTAACTCTAATTAAATATGGCAATAAAAACCAACATTAAAGAAAGTCCTTTAAAGATTTTGCATGCTGGATGTAAGTTAATGCTAATTTCATTAGAAGTTTTCATTGAGTCCCATCTGTTTGAATATACAGGAGTGATGAATTTTAAAACATAGTGCTGTAAGAGAATAGTCCTTTAGTGTCAGAAAGCAGCATTTGGTTTGATACAAGAAATTAAATCACTCTATGCTTGTGAGGCTTGTTAATTATATCTGAAGTAAAGGATTTTAATTGATCTCAATGCTTGCT